GGGGGGGGCTGTCTCGCAGGACCGGGGCACGCGGGGCGCGGGGTCCCCTCAGTAGTACCGAAGTTTTCGTAGTGTTCTTGTTTTTACCAATTTTCGTGATGTTTTCGTCTGCAGGACGGGATGCGGCCCGGGATACTCCCGGAAGGAGCTTCTCGCCTTACTGGCAGCGGCGGCCGGCGGCGGCAGGGATCAGCTCAAGGTAGGGCAAGATCTGGCGCAAGATCGTTGTCTCAGACACGCACAACGAAAATGGGAAAAGTAAATGGCGGAAGATTGGATTAATCTAGGCACACACCCCCAGGCAGCGCCATGTCCACCGAACTCGAAACCAACCAATCCGGCGTCCAGGAGTGCCAGGAGTGACCCCTACTAAAAATTTCAGACGTCTAGCTCTAGTGTCCTTCTTGGTGAGCGGGCGGACAGACAGAATCCAAGCTTTTACCAGCAGAGTGGCGGGCTAAAAAGTCTGTCGCTGTTTGTCGCGTGCGGACTGCGTGCTGCCATGGCGCGTGCCCGGCCGCGGTGAGGGAAGGCCGACCCTAAAACACCCCTAAGCATTTTATCCCCCTCCGCGGCCACTCCATCATAAAATACAAGAAGGGGAAACAATGAGGGAACAAACTCGGACCGCGCGCCACAAAAAGGCACGCGACAAAATACTCCTCAGCGCTCCCGGCCTCTACACATATTTATACGCATGTAAAGTATCGTCTCTGTCTTCTTTGTGAGATTTGATAAATTGATTTTTTTCCCCTCTCCCCGCCGGCACGCTCTTTCATCGGATGTCTTGTGGGGTCGGGCGGGGCGGGCAGGGGCCAGATGAGGAGGAATAGGGAATAGGCCAACCGTTTTCTGTCGCGAGGAGCAATGATCTTGGAAGAAATGCCGTACGGCGGTCCTTTTCGCTGAAAAAAAAAATCCTACTAAATAAAACAACCCAACAAATTCCACTTGCTTCGTTTTGTTGTTTGGAAAAACAAAGGTGGCCGCGAGCACGCAAAGTTTTAGAATCTTTTTTAAGAGGCAGAGAGCAGCCCAAAACCACGCTTTAGCCCTTCTTTCGGAGTAAATTTTAGAAACCGACCCAGTTTGTATGTTGTTTCTGAAAACTTATCTGGTCGAGCTAGGTATAGGAAGCGGGACTTCTGGAAAAACGACGAATAACGTTGTTGCTGAAGCGACATTTCCGTTTCCTTTTTTCCCCTCCACCGTTTGGCTCGTGCTCCTGCTCACGCGGCTACCGGGTTCATACGTCTTTCATTTTTCTGGAAATGTGGAAAGCAATAAAGGTGCGGGGATGTAAGCTGCACCCCAAGTCGAGAGAGGTCCGGGTCCCTTTGTGCAGGGCGGGCCGCACCGGTCCGACCGTTAGCGGAGTCTGCGCCGCGGCGTTGTTGGAGCACTGGAGGAAACGTTGCATATGCGAGCGAGATCTGCTGCTCCTTTGACTCTAAAAAGTCGCAGCGTGGCTGAAATCTTAAAATCTGAAAATGAAACGGGGTTCTCTTCTTTTTTTTTTTTTAGGGAAAGCAAAGAGAATCTGCTCGTGCCGCGGGTACCCAAAGACCACATCAATTACCGCTATTGATGTGCTATGCCCTTTTGGTTTTGTGTAGGCGACGCTGTGGCCCGGCTCCCTACCTGACCTGCGCCCCAGATCCAGAGAACCCAGATCCGAGGGTGTTTCTGGGAGGCGGGCGGCGCCCCGGGCCCGCGGCGCTCGGAGCGGAGAGCTGTTTGCTTTTGACATGTCCCCGCTATCGCCTGGCCGGCAGGCCTAGAGGCAGGCCCCGCCCCACCGCGACTCTTTCGCACCTTTCGCGCGAATATCTGATGGATATGCGACTATCGCAGGGGCTGTGTGTTTTGTTAGCGCCGGCCTGGGAAGTGGGGGGAGGGCGGCGGGGGTAGCTAAACACTCCAATGGGGGGAGGTGTGGTGTGATTCACAACACCGGGTGTGGTGGGCGGCGGCCGCCCCGGGGGTGTGCGAGGGTGTGCGAACCTTACAGGGAAAGGTTCTTCAACGGGACTGTCTGTAAACTAACAATCGTCTGATTGTGACATTTATGGACGGTCCCTGCTGCAGAGGGTGGATGGGGGAGCAGCAGCGGCTGGGACACTTCCCTGTTGTTTTAGCGGTGGCTGAACAAACACTTGCAAAATAAAAGAAATAAGGAAAGAACGATGAGGAGATGGAGTGGGGGGAGAGAGCAGGGTACAGCAACGGAGAAAGATGTGAGCAGGGTCGGGGGGTGGCGCCAACGGGGGTAGAAGAGGAGGTTCGGGATCAAAGGTTCCTCTCTCCGAACAGTCGCAGGAAGCACCTGCTCGTCCTTACGGTACGTAGCCGACTGCCTCACAGAGCGAAAAGTATCGGATTTGCCACCTCGTTTCTTTATAAACAAACAACACGATAGGCGTTTCCATTGAGTACCAATAAACTGCGCTTCTGTGCCCCCCAGCTCTGTTTTGCACGTTAGAGCAGCGATTCGACTCTTCTTTAATCTTCTTATTTTTTTTCTGTTTTGCTTTGTTTTTTGGCCACAGCTCGTCTGGTTTCTCTCCCTCTCTTATGCGTATAGACGCGAGGGGCGGGATCAGCTTGCAAATCCGTTCCCGGAAGGGCTGCGGGCGCGGCGGTGCGCGGTGAGTTGGGAGCGCGGTGCGCGGATCAGCCCCGCTTACCCCACCACCGCAGAGATGCGGGGTGCCGACATTTACCTACCACACAGAAAAAAAATGATAAGCTGTACCAGGTGGCTGATTCACGCCACGCACTTTCGCATGTAGACTGCACCGCATGCACGAACTGGCGCGGGCGGGTTTGCCTATGCTCGCTGCCCACGGCTCCTTACGGCCCCGTGAGAGTAGGCAACCCGCCCGCACGCGTGCATGCGGTACAGTATAACCACGGAAGTGCGCGGCGGGAATCAGCCACCTGGTATAGCTACACCGATACTGTAGCTAAATATGGGGTAACTGATTATTTAGCTAGATATAGCTAAAACTTTAGGTGTTAGTTAACCATTTAGCCCTGCTGAATTTTATTCAGCTATAAGTACAGAGCTGATGTTTAGCAACTACCAGCTAATCTTTTTTTTTTTTTTTTTGTGTGTGCGCAACTCGTGCATTTTGCTCGCGTCATTTGCGGCGAGTGTGTACACTGCGCATGTCGCTCGCTTAATTTTTTTACGTCTACACTCTGAATGTAAAGGGACAATGTTCCAAAGAAAGGGAACGTTATCGTGCTCATACAGAGCAGATACAATTTTGTCCCTAACAAATTGTGAAAAAACTTGTGTAAAACTTTGTGTAAAACTTTACACAATTTGTCCATGCAGTTTTTAGGAGCAAAATTGCATCCGGTCTGGATGTGTACGAAAACGTTCCATTTTGTGGAACAAAGTTGTCCCCTTACATTGCGTACGAGAGGATTGACATTATTCCTTCGTGTCCTCCCCTCCTTCCGTGCCGACCAATGGCAGGCCTTGCTCTCCGCTGTGTTTATAATGGAGTTTTCTTTTTTTAGATTAAGCCGAAGTGAGGGGGAGCGTTTGGAGAGGGGGAGATCGCTTTTTATGCCGAGCGCGGTGCGGGCGCGGCGGCGCGCCTTCGTATGTTGTATGGAGGGGGATCAGCCACGCCACGCTATTGGGTGGACGGCAGGCGAGCCGGCAGGCCGCGGGAAAGGGTTCAGCCATGGCCTCCCGCGCTACCTCCCGCGTAGAGATAACGAACAAACACTGAAAAAAAACAACACGAGTTATGGGAAAATAATTGCTAATGCATCGCTTATTTGGCTTAGCACAGAATATCAGCCCGCCTATCTAATTTTAGAAAAGAGAGCCTAGAAATTAGTCTTTACAGCTGTCTAGAAAAAAGGAACAAGCAGTAAAGGCCAATATCTGTGCTTTTCTTGGCTTTTAATTAGCTACGGGAGCTAATATTCTATGAGCCTGTAAAGCATTTTTAAAGGAGAATTAAGTGGTTTTTTTTTCAGGTGTTTGTGAGGTGTGAGAAAGGAATAGTTGACTCGTACGTCGCGCCCCGACACCCGCATAGGAGGCACATCTCCCGCCTAGCTCCCCGCGCGCGTTTGGTTTCTATTTGCGGCTGAAGTTTAGTACTAACAGCCATGAGCAGCATCGTTGCATAGCCCACACACGAAAAAAAAGGCCCGGAGAAATGACTCGCGCTGCATGCGAGTGTAAGAAGAGCGGCAGAAGCCTCGGTCCGGGCCGTCGCTTAGACTGGCCGGGGATCCGCCCACCCCTGGAGCCGCTGCTGGAGAATATATTGGGATTAACGAATGCACATATGAAATGCCACCCCCTGCCCCGTAGGCCACACACCCCTGTCGTACATAATGTATTTTATATCTTGTTTACCAAACGACAGGAACAACCACGAACAATTTACAGAGATTGCAAGAAAGTCTGCTGTCACAAATATGTATGCAGTCTGATTTAAAGGGGTGGTTTTGCCTTTTGGCATATAGATATATATTTATTTGTAAGGTCCAGTTAAGTCACACTTTTCTAGCTCTCATGGGAAACAAATAGCAACGATACCCTATCCCCTGTATTCGGGCAGAGCTCAAATTTGGAGTGGATCTCTTTAGACTGAAAAATCGCTTGCTGGTATTTTCCTCAGATTTACCTAGATATTTTCCTCAAAGTAGAAAATTAAAAATTCACGACAGAAATAAAAGATACGAAAAAAAGGAACAATTCGCACAATGGATTTTTGTTTTTGCAGTGTTTCTCGTAGTTTTGAAATAGACTCCCTCGTGCCGCGTGTAAGCAAAGAGGGCTTTGCAGGGAGTCTAGATCAGGCACGGATGGGTAGCTGTTCGGATGGGCCGAGGGAAGTCCCTGGGCCGGCCCATTGTGTGTTGACCGTGATTGTGTGCGCGATGCAAGTCCAAGTGGTCCGGTAATGAGACGATCCGGATTGGGTCTCTCTCTCTCTCTCTCTCTCTCTCTCTCTCTCTCTCTCTCTCTCTCTCTCTCTGGATCTGTCTGTCTCTCCACACGGCAGGCCCTCGACAGATGGGGTGCTTGCGCTTTAGCATACAGACGATGTGGTGACACTGCGGTTTGCCCATAGGGCTGGATTTGCAGTGAAGCTGTCGCGGGGCGTGGCGGGGCGGGGCTGGGCGTGGTG